AATTATCAATTAATTTAATCAACTTGAATCCATCCACTGGGCCTGTCATTCCCCACACCACAGACACAGACCAGAAGCGTTGGTTACAACACGCAAACCAGACCGCGCTGAGACGCGGAGGCTGGGTAGAGGGCACTTGGGCAGGGGGCAGAGGGCAGAGGTCAGGGGGAGGCTCACTCCCCAGCCAGCCTCGTCTCACTATCCCGGCCTGTTGCACTGCGGATTTGAAAGCTGTGCTTAACCGACCTTCGGCTCGGATGCATCCCGCTCTGCTCCGTGCTCTTCCCTCGAAGACAACGTCAGCCAGACTGAATGGCAAGAAAGCGACTTCGCGAATGTAAGATCCACAGAAGTCAGGACCCAGCAGCGCTGCGTGAGAGTGGAAGACACGCAGTGACGTAAAGAGGTGAAGGTCATATCAGGTCACCCTGCAGAGTGGACCGAGAGCTTGTGACCCTCCTCTCAGAAGACACTGACACCTCACAAGCGTGACCCCCGATAGTGCTGGTCCCCATGGATACAGCCGGGCAAAACGGGGCTCAGTCGAAGTTCAACAGCAGAGTCTAAAAGGCCTGTGTGCTATTCAGAACTGAGTTATTCTGAAGTAAATGGATTCAGAAGAATAGAAACACAACACCATCCAGTCAAATAAACATCACCAAGAATAAAAAGCCTAAAAAGATCTTTCATCTCAAATTTTGTGATTTCTTAAAAAATTCCTCAGGACTTTAGAAAGAGTTTGTTAAAAGTTTATAAATAATATATGTACATTTTTTATATTTCAGTATCTTTCAGAGGAGGGTATGTTTATTTTATGAAAATCTGTAGCAAAAAATATTTTAACTGGTATGTTCTGTACACCAGTGTAAATGATAAATTGATTAGAAGGATTTTGTTTTATTAAAGATCTGCAAGTCACTGTTATTCAGAGAAAATAAAATACTCCATTTTATATTTACAACAGATTTTACTTGCCAAGTTGTGCAGATTCATCATAAAATCAGTATTCAGAATTGTGTGAAGTAATTTACTGGATTTGCACAGGAATAAAAAAATATGCTGAGCAACCCAAATTATATTAATTTAAGAGTGTCCTATGCTGAACCATACAGTAGTCACCCAGAGAAACGCACATCTTGTGTTGCGGGATTATTTCTCAATTTTGTTTGTCTGTTAAATCCTGTTGATCCAGTCAATGTGATGAACCACCTTCTCTTGGTCCTGCACATAGTCTGCAATCCCTGACCCATCATATCCAGAAAGTGCAAACTGGGAGAGCGTTTGAACTGGTGCGTAGCTTCGCTTTTCCTCTGAAATTCTGAAAAAAACAGGTGTGATCCTTCTTCAAAAAAATCTGTTTTGTGTTGTAAGTTACAGTCTGTAAGAAGGCCAAGTGTTCAGTTACAGATTCCTGGTCATTGTTCCACCTGTTCTTATCAGGAAGCACATCACTGTCCAAAGGGTGAAGGCAGTGTGGAACGTGTTGAAGCCAATCCCTACTCCTTTCAAGAAAAAGCTGAATGAGGTCCAATTACAAATTAAAGTGGGCTAACTGGGCTGAATGGCCTCCTCTTTTTTGTAACCATTTCATATGTTCTTATGGTCATTAGAGAGCTATTTCAAATTAACATTAGTAAGACATAGATGTGGCCTACAAAGGTCAACAGCACAACAGAATATTCTCTATGGCTCTATAACTCAGACCGTGCAGACTGTGCAGTAGCTACAAGGGTCTTTCACAATTTGATTTCTGTCCCCATATCCTAGTGCTACAAACAAATAGCCTCTGGTACTTTTCTCAAATTAAAATGCCTGAAAATTCACAGATTTAGCAGTCTGAAAGCTAGTTTAAATGCTACAATTTGCAATCATCTCTTCCAATTGAGCAGCACCCTCTTGTTTCAGGTTCCCCCTGTGTTGTTATTTTCTTATTCAAAGTACCATTACTTTCTCATGAATCCCCACACCACCAGGGTAGACAGAGCAGCAACCCCCGCTGCTTGAACATAGTAGTTTCCGAGCAGGTCATGGGCACTATGACCCCAGTCTCCCAGGTGGCTTTCAAGAGCCTGTCTCTGAGGGGATACCGACTTCTCTGGCTCCTGAGACTCTGAGGTGCCCCTGAGAGATTCTGGAGATCTCTCCAGAGACGTGTGGGAGATGTGTCCCGCATAATTGTCGCCAAAGGTGACTTGAGAGAGATGCATTTCATTCTCCCTGACATCAGAGACAGGCGAACGTTCCTCCAGGTCATTATCCAGCCATAACGCATTTTCACTCCCGTTCTTCCCTGGAACCTCAGGTTCCTGAGGCATACAAAGAGGTGGAACTCCACCCTGGATGACTTGCGGATTTATGGTGAAGTTCTTATCCCCAAAGGACGAGAAGTGATTCTCTTCAGGCTCGTTGTGAGAAGGCTCCTTAATGGAGACATTTCCAGGGGCACCAGCAGACTGGTTACATTCAGAGCAGGAGATGTGGCCTGAACTCCTCTCGAGATGATGAGAAGGAACAGAAAAGGGCTCCTCTGGGATTGGAGGATGATCCACCTGGTCGTTTGCAGCATGAAGAACCTGTGCATGAACAAATGAATGCAGTGTCCCAGGTTTACTGAGGAACTCGCCATCGTATGGGTTGGCCGAAGCCCCAGTGCTTGATGGGAAGAGGGGAATGGTAGTGGCATCGATGGCAGCTGGTCTTGTCTTCACTTGAGGGATCACCAGACCTGGGGTGCCCTGGGTCAGGTTTGTATGGACTTCGTACATCTCGGCCTTAAAGAGTTGCGACACAGGATTAGACACAACAGATTCAATTATTAGCTTACAAGTCAGTTCAACAATATTATCATAATGAATGCCGACAGCAGAATGCACATACTAAAACTCACATTTTGTGCAATAATTATTTTTGTGTTTAACCCTAAAATTGTGTCACGGAAAACACTCACTAAATTTAAAGTGTGGAGTTACTGTGAGGTGTGTTGGATGATACAAAACAGCCGGGTGGTGGAAAGGTGCTTTATAAAATATCATTACAGCTACTTGCGTCAGGGTTTGACACTAACACAGACAAGCACCTGCTCTCTAGGCATGTTATCAAATGGGGGAGCAGATCTTAACAGGTTAAAAGCAAACATGACGTGATAAACTTTGAAGCAAGAATGGCAACTTCTGACTTTCAGTCCTCGAATGATAGTGCTAAGCAAATTACATCACACCAGGGCAAGAACCCACATAAACCCTCATCGGGAAGAGTCAGGACACGAAAGGCACAGTAATGACAGCAGCTTTGATGTGGATGATGATTTGCAACTGCAGGAAACGTCCTACAGCTAAGTGGTTGCTGGTTCAAATACAGGCTGTGCCTACTCACGAGCTGTTGCCAGGAGGTGTTCCACGACTGGCTCAGAGCTGACTGCTGAATTAGTGTGCAGTCTGGTAGGGTGTCTTTAACGTGCTGCCCAACATGGGTCCTGACTCAGGACGAGCACCTTTAGGAAGGGCTGTTTCGCGTATCGGTTCCCTGCTGCCTGTGTGGACTCAACTGACCGTGTCAAAAGGAGTCGAGGATTTGACAGGACATAATATGTCAAGGAGAACACGTTTGTGTTGTCTTAATCTCTCACTGAGCCTGCCTTCGTTTAATGAAAGTTGAAACTTGGTCATGTTAGTAAAAATGCCATTGCATCTTTTGATGTTTAATTTCAATGCATATGAATTTACATCCTATTTTGTTTACTAGAACAATAAGAACATAAGGAAAGTTACAAACAAGGAGACAATTCTGCTCATCTGGCCCCTTGGGTAGAGGCTAATTGATCATTTTGTTAATTAATAGCTCATTGATCCAAGGGTAGCGTGAACCAGACACAAGCAGAAAATATGTGTTGGTGCAACCAAGAACAGGAGGCACTTCTTTCCTCAAAGGGTGGGGGGAGTCTGGAAAAGCTTCCCAGCCGTCTTCTTGACGCCTGAGTGGGCAGCTTAATCTATTAACGACAAGCGCTGGCCAGTCTGGAGGCCAGGTGGATCAGATCTCCTCCTCTCGATTGCAACAGTTCGCACGTTCTTCTCGGCATCTCACCGAGACTGAGCAACTCGTTCCATACGACCGAACGATGCGAAGCCATGCGAGAGCAGCTCGAGCCGAGGGCAGAGAGCAGGGAGACTGAACCTGGCTCACCGCACTGGAGCTCCTCGCAGGAGTGCCCATCTCCGGCGCAGGAGAGAGACTGTCTTTGACGGGGGGCCGGACTTCCGCAGGCGCTGAGGGCAGGCTGGGCTCCTCCGAGCGGGAAGCCGGCAGCTGGACAGGGACAGGGAGAGGACGGGAAGGGACAGAGGGCCGGTCCACTTGGGCAGGTGTGTCGCTGTGCGCGGCGGGGGCCTGGCTGGTGTCCTCCGGGACAGTGGCAGCTGAGCACTGAGGGGGAGGAGCAACCCCGCCACCTGCAGGGCGGGAGAGGGGGCAGTCCCACCTTCGGGTTAGATTTGGTCGTCATTCAATTCAACTTTATTTGTCATTATACTTACACTGGTGCACAGTTTAGCGAAAAGTGTTTCTCATTAGTCTCTCAGGTGCAGTATATACAGTATGTACTGTAGAACAGCAGACAAGACAATAGACAGAAAATAACAATAACAGTGAAAACAACAGTATGGTGCCAGTGCAAAATGGTCAAAAACTGTGCAAACACACAAACAGAGAAAAGTATACAAACAGGACCGCAAAAGTAATACGGCGATTAATAAACAGTACAACTAGTACAGTTTTAAGTATGATTTCGGCATACATTCAGTTGTCGTGTATGTAGTGGTGTAGGAGTACAGTCATTGTGGGTACAGGAAGATGTGAGGAGAGATCACAGTATGATGGGAGGGAGTGGGGGCATCACCAGCTTGATGGCTCTTGGGAAGAAGCTATTTTGGAGTCTAGTTGTGTGCGACTGGAGCGTCCGGAACCAAGTTAAGACAAACAAGTTATGACTGGGGTGTGTGGGGTCAGACATAATTTTGGTGGCTTTTTTCAGACTCCTGGTGTTGTAGATTTCATAAATCATTTTATTGTTTTAGCACACAACCAACGGGGGGAGGGGGCTGCTTATAGTTGTTCTGCAGCACCCATCGCACAAAAATGCAACAGACAGCTAAAATTTAGAAGGCTGTGTTTTGGTTTCTATTACACAAAAAAGACATGGCTGCTCTCGAATCAGTCGGGAGAACAGCAGCCAGATGTGTTTCGCACTGTCAAGGAATGTCCTGCACCGACAGGCTGAAGGAGCTAGACTTGTGCGTTGGTGTTTCGGGAACGTCTGGGTAGACTTGTATTTGGAGCAGACATTTTGTTTCGTGTTGCCTTGTTGAAGAAAAACACGAATAAAGACTGGAGCTTTCATGTGCCACGTCTATCTCAAGTCACAGAACTGGGAGTTACGTGTCTTAACTCCTCTAATCATTAGTGGCCAAAAAACAAGCTACACTTCATTTATTTTAAGTGCCGAATCGCAGACGACAGGATTTAACTACAGCATACATATATCTCTTCAATGTAAATCTAAGTAAATATTAGGCTAAATATACTTACAGTTGGAGGCCTGAAGAGACTCATACTCATCCCTGAGCTCTTTAGCGAGACTTGGGTGGTTATCCTCTTCAAGAGCATTAATGAAAAAAACATGCCAGTCTTCTCTTCTCCTGAGGCAATCCACAAGCAACTGCATGGCAATATAATTACCCGCGCTCTCCCTCTTGGCTGTGATTTCCTCCTTCAGACATAGGTGTATAACACAGGCCTATTTTAGCACTTCTTAGTACAAGAAATGATCATCTTAGAATCAGACAGTTCATAAAACAGAAACCACAATGTTACGAATACACCCCCGCGCATAACAGGGACCTTGGCCTCCCGGGCTGAGGAGGGTCTTCTTTAGCTCAGCCGGCAAGACCCCCTGCGATGCCGGAGACCCGGGTTTGGGCCCATGCAGTGAGGGACGAGCTGGGGCAGGATCGGTGAGGGCACGAGCCCGAGAACCCGAATTCGCTACAATAACCCTGCACCAACGTGAATATTAATGTTCCTTATAGGTGCATTGCTGACACTGATAGTTATGGATGATTTGGGTTAGTTTCCAATACAGTGCTCTTCACACTCTTTCAGGTTTCGGACTGGGTCAGAACTCCCTAAGTAAAAAGGTATAAAAGGGGGGTTTCTGAGCATTTTCTTACAGCCTAGCTGGATATTTGCTGACCAACAAAAATTAAACATGCAGGCAAGGGAAAAGATTAACTCTTAGTTGAAGAAAGAACTTCCAAGTTTGTTTATGTGTGCTGACCCGCTGGGCCCAGAGTATCTCCTTTGCTTCGGGTTAATAATTTCTTCAGTTCATTTTGAAATGATGGCCTGCAGTCTTTCTGAGTCACTATCTGGCATCGCTGTGTTTGGTGAACTGGGATGTGCAGAAGGTTGATGTTGATGAATGTGGAAAATTACAAGCTATCCTTCATGCAAGAGCAGGATATTATGACACCCAGTGAAGGCTCACAGTTTTCTGGTATTAAACAATATTAAACATTTTTTGTTAATGTTTGTTTTGGACATAGTTCCAATGACTTCTTATCATTACATATGTCAGAGCTACCTCAGCAGGTCTAAGACTCCAGTTCTTATTTATTTAGTCTTAAACTGAAGATCTGTTTTATATTATTTACATAAATGAAAATAGGTCTCAAAAACACAGCTAGATTATATCACTGACTCTGGTTTTAAAATACAACTGAGGTCACACCTAAAAAATGTCAGACTAGAAAAGGTCAGCAAGCAGAGTTAATGTTCATAACATGCAAAAGAAAGAGTCATGCACAATCTGCATATCTGTAAAAGTGCAAGTAATCTAAATAAATTAAATTCAACATAAATGCAATTGAAAACTCTACAAGGTCTTCCAGAATTTATTAATTTCCCTTTGCATGGCAATATTTTTTGCCATGCAAAAATGAATTAATAAATTGAGAGTGCATGATTTCTTTTCTTTTTACAATTTCTTTTCTTGACTTTATTTGCAGAATGCTATCATTGCCATTGCACAGAGCAAAGATATCTATTCCCCATCTAAAATCTAAACAGCACCTTATACATTACAGTAGATGAATAAATACTGTATAGCTCTCAATAAAATCTGAAATATTAATAACAATCTGCTGACAAAAGTCCATACGATCAATGTTACCATATTACATGAAGAAAAACTCACCTTGTCGGAGTCAGTGAGACAGGACAGATGAGGCAGGATGTTCATCACTTTGACTTTGGACACAAACCGCGCCATATTCCTCCGCAGGTAGTCATTGTATAGCTTATCGCTTGCCAAAGTCATTCTGAATTACCTAAAAAAATCACACAAAGTTGAATGACCATGTAATTGCCAATTCATCATCCAAAGATGATTCGTTTTCACAAGTGGTGCTTTTTACTCCCAATGAGTAACTAGCAAACCTCCCTCCATACATCAGATCCAGTGAACACAAAAGGCAGATATCAGATTTGAACCAATGCAGAGTGATGAAGATCAAGAAGTAGCAGCTAAACGGACGTAAAGGTGATTTAGTTTCATGCACAACAATAAGCCTCACATTTATTTCAGGTGTTGCCTGTGAGCCGGTGACACCAAGGGAACCTCACAAATCAGAAAGCACAAAAAAAATCAGCTCAGTACTATCCACAGACATGAACAATGGACTTCCCCAGAATCTATTAAAGTGCATTCCTTAGTGTATGTGTTCAAATAAAAGTGATTTTCCATTTACTGATATTTCTTGTTGCAGAAGAATACTGAATTTCAGGTTCCTGCACAAAATATTCTTGGAGAAAAAAACATAACATTGGCGGAATTGTCACATTTCCGCCAAACACCAATTATGTCATCTGATAAAGGAGACACACCTACTATTCTATCAATTCATTCATTTCTACATTTTAACATTTGTGATCTGCATCCTAACAGGTAACTATAGCACTATGGAACAAGGAAACAAAAGCTATAATGATTTGTGCAAATAATCTCTAGGATGTCATTAAACATCTATATCAGATAAAAATAAACAACATAAATCTGTCAAAAACTACTGTACTCTTACCTGTAAGTCAAGTTGTTTTTATATTGTGCAGACACGTTATACTGTTCCTGGAAAAACAATAAAAGTAATTTTCAGTTGTAATGGATCCTGTTGACTGTTCACAAGTCTCAGCAATATGCATTTATAGTCTGAAGCAGTCGATAGGACAATCAGAGATGACTCACAGCATTATGTGTCTCTTACTGCCAGCTGCAGAGTGATTTCACAGTGATTTATAAGTGTGGGCAGGCACAGCACACCACTCTCGCTACTGCAGTCTATGTTACAGTTCATAAGAATGACAGTACAGATTAATGGGGGTTTCCATCAAGAGGAAGTCTGGCCCGCTTCACCATGAAAGTGGGAAATCCCTTTCAGGGGACGCTGACAAAGCACTGTGTTTTCACCTTTTTTTAAAGTTGCACTTTCACTTTCACAAGAAATAGGAATGATGAAATTCCTCAGAATACTCAGAAGTAATACAGATCAATTCAGGAGTCTGTCAATCATTTTAGACAATATTGACTGTTGGCTATTCTTATCTGTCAAGTATTTATCATAATGATGATCATATTCTGTGCAGACCATTGAATTTTCAGGGCTGTTGCACCCCAATTGAAATCTATACTTTTACTTTTCTTGAAGTAATTTATTTTATTTTATCATATATCTTAGATTAGGTTTTTTTATATCAATGGCATTCAAGATGTAAAAGTCTACTGGGTGTTCACAAAGCATTCTTACAGAACAGTTATCTAAAAACCTTAGCTGGATGTCTACTCTTTGCAGTAGTTTCTAGATATGTTCTGACTTTTGAAAGAAAAATACAAGAGATTTAATAATACATAAAATTCTGTGGATACACATTTGACCACACAGCCAGTGCTTGTGGGTGAGTTCAGATATGATTCGAAAGTTCATTTTCTCTGCAAGATTTGTTATTTTCCTAAAACAGAACACAAAACAACTTTACTGCTAAAGCAAAACTGTTATCAACTCATTATGTACAAAAGTCAATTACTTTTGCTTTTTTGTCCTCTATGGAAAATAAGTTGAAAACCCTTCGGTCTCTAAAATAGAACCCATATATCATGGAAAGAGATAAAGCTGTAAAAGAATGGCTACATGTGTGAAAATGACAAAGGAGTGCACATATTAAAGAGGTCTGAGCAAGATTCAAGCAAATTAACTCTGTGTCACTCATATGGATAATCTGCGTTTAGGAAAGCCAGTGAAATTGTGTGCTTTCTAATTTTTATCCATTCTTGGGGATCTTTATAAAACTGTTTTTATTTTCCAAAGGAAATAATAAATGTGTTTATCATTTTAATCATGTTCCAAAAAACATTCAAATCAGGCTTTGACCTCTGATTTAAATCAGAAGTTCAGATCTCAGGCCAAGACACTAAGAGCAGTGCTGAACCAGACCTGCTGAAAGACTTTTGCCTTTTTTAAAAGAACCTCTTATACAGTATTACATGAGATATAAAACAAGACCCAGAAAGCAAAGTGCATACTACAGAACACATACAATACTAAACATCTGAATGACTAACTTAACCTTGTGCATAATTATTTCCTAAGAAAAGAGTGTGGTCCTAAAAACTGTTGTCTTTAAGACTTGTTACATGTTTGCAATAATTTACATTCTTTCAGACTAGGACCAGGAGTCTGTCACTCGGTTCCCAGAGATCTGTGATATCTTTTCACTTTTCAGTACAAATGCCAGGTTTTCAGTTTTAACCTTAAATGGGAGTTTGAAATCTAATCACTGTCTTAATCAGTCTGATTGTTAAGATATTTACAAGCAAAAAGGTGAAAGTCCATAACAGAGCCATTACAGCTCAGCTCAGACCAGAGCTCATCCTGGTTTCCATAGCAATAAAGAACTAGAGAGCATGTGACCCCCAACCTGGACACAGTTCTAGACAGGTTTCTTCTAGACACAGTTCGAGTCTGGAAGTTTGCATCAATACTAATGTGATTATTCGGACTTCATTGACGATTGCTGATGCTGACATTTTTGCACAGGTTGTCCTGTGATACAATACAGAACTGCTGTTGTGTGCTTCCATTAACAACCACCCGCCTAAAACTGAACGCACTACTGGAAAAACAGAAAACTTTTTTCAAATAGTGTCGGTATTTTCAGATCCCTTCTGCTGCGTGAACTTGTGATGTCATCTAGAACTACATCACGAACAGTGATAAATACCACAGGCCATTCCTTCTTATCTCTTCCTCTCCTTCATGACGGCCAGGTTCTTGTCTCCCTGTGCTTGTGACAGGCCGTCTCCAGACGGGACAAGAGTGAGTTTCTGTGGAGGGGCGTGGTATTTTACACTGGTGTCCCTAACACCGCTCCAGTTAGATAACATAAGATCACATTATTGGCCACATACAGTTTCTTGCATTAGGCATTCATTTTTTCCAATACCCCAGCTTGCTCTTCATGAGACACACAGACACAGACAGGGAGAGAGCAGCTGGGGGTCAGAGTGCAGGGTCAGCCATTTATACAGCACCCCTGGAGCAGTTGGGGTTAAGGGCCTTGCTCAGGGGCCCAACGGAGTAGGATTCCTGTGCCGGCCAAGGGATTTGAACTGGCCACAGCGCCACTGCTCCGCCCCCCCAAAAAAATTGTGCCCGAACTGGCTATTGAACTCAGATCACCTAGACAGAACCCCCATCATCTAACCCACTGTACCAACGGGCTGCTCAGAAGAGGAATGACGCTCGAAAGCATTATGGGATTGTGTTACTTTTTGCATCCTACAGTTTTCCAAAATACACAATGTTAAACAATATCCACAGGCCATGTTCAAGACCGCATTCATTTCACTCTGGAACACACTGTTTAATATTTAGTGCCAAGGGGAACAATTCATGCCCTCGGAATGCTCCGAAGAGATAAGCTCTGCCAAGTAATAGAAATATATCCTATTAAAGGACTTGTTTTCCATGTCGTTCATCATTTACCACGGGGCAGCTGCGCGCCCTCTAACTAAAACTTAAATGTCAAGCAAAAGATTCAAAACCTTTAACATGAACTCTGAAAACTCAGTAAAAAAAGAATTTAAAACAATAGCGGTGTACAATGGAAATGGAAAACATACAAATGTCATTTAAATTTCATTTTAAAGTGAAGTGTGAGCCTGTTAGTTTATGCGTCCAGGAGAAAAAATACGTAGCCCAAGTCATATGATTTCAGAGCAATGCTATGTGCTTCATGTGTGATACTGGAGTCAAGTTAAAACTGACTAAATGGTAACGAGTATGCATTTCAACAGCTATTCGAAAAGGTGATTTTAATTAATGCAAGCACAGTAATTAATAGTAAACTGTAGCTGGTCATCAGCATGTAAGGGACAGGCCACAGCCTGGAGGGCAGTCTGTCACTCCACTGGCAAAGGATCCTATTCTGACATCAGTGGCTCTACAGCAGCACAAGAAATCCCTGGAAAGAAAACACACACATCAGCAGGAGGCCTTCTGCTCCCTCTGGACAAGAGAAAGGTGCCATCTTCAGTGGGCCAGAGGCCATGTGAACATCTGCTGCCAAGACAGTATTGAAGTTTGGTGTGCACTGATTAATGCTGTTCGGATATTTGCAGACTTGCCGTAAGACTGTGGAGATATCAGGGTGAGTGTGTAGCCGACTGTTGTGTTGTTCAAGGCAGCTGTGGAAGATCCCACCTATTCTGACAAAAGACTTTTCAACAAACAAAAACCTTTAGAACAGAGTGACTGCCATTACCTACAGCCCCCAGTGACACTTACTTACATATACAAACAAACCAATAAAGAACCCACGTGAACGCAGTTTTCCAAACTATTATGTATTTATAGAATTACAGAATAATTCTCAGGATGTGAACTTTTACTACATGCGTGTTTTTGGTGGCCTCTAGTGGCAGATCCTTCATAATTGCAGTCCGTTCACGGAGCAACCTATCAAACAAGTAAAAAAAATCACATCCTTACACTTAAGATAGCACTTTTCTCTACACTTCATTCAAAGGTCATGGGGTCACAGGTCATGGGGACTCCCTTCCACCACCACCACCGGTGTGCAGCCCCATCTGGATGATGTGACAGCAGCCCATACTGCGCTCACAGTACACTCACCACACGGCAGCTCTCAGTGGGGAGGAGAGTGATGAAGCCAGTTCATAGATGGGTATTATTAGGATTTACCATGAAAGTAAAGGCCAGGGGAAAATCTGGCCAGGACACCGGGGTTACACCTCTACCCTTTCCGAGAAACGCCCTGGGATTTTTAATGACCACAGAGAGTCAGGACCTCAGTTTTACGTCTCATCCGAAGGCAGGTCCCCTGTCTACAGTATAGAGTCCCTTTACTACACTGAGGCATTAGGACCCACACAGACCGCAGGGTGAGCACCCCCTACTGGCCTCACTAACACATCTTTCAGCAGCAACCTGAGCTTTCCGAGCTACTGACCAGACTCACACCTGCTGAGCTTCAGAGGTTTGCCAGTTGTGAGTTGCGGGGTGATACAGTATAATTTTTATTTTAGATAGCCCTTTCCATTCCATATCTTTACAATGAAACAAAATGTGGGCAAAAAAAAAGTTTCCGAAATGTCATTACACCTGAATGCTGTGTTTTTGTGTGCCTCAAATTAAATAAGGTGGTCACCTCTAAGGCAAGCCCGCATTCTGCAGGCAGATCCCAGATGTGCATAGACATGTGGCTGGAAACAACATTTCACGTTTCTCAACATAGGAAACTGAGATCCTGTTAGTACGTGTTCGTGATCTCAGCTCATCGAGGAGCAGGTAACAGAGAGACAGAGAGAGCTCTCCCACAGTCATGCTCGCTACTGTAGCTCTGCTCTGAGGATGTGCTGGTTCACTGCTGTAACAAACTACAGCAAAGCTTAACTCCTTCTTTCCAAAGGTTCACTCTCAGCCCCCCAAATAAATGATCATAAAGGTTAATTAAAACAATTGTTACATATATTTCATATAGGTATTGTATATAATCACAGAATTATATAGAATTTCTCTCTATAAAACACACAGACAGGGAGAGAAGCTTGGGGTCGGAGCACAGGGTCAGCCATTTATACAGCACCCTTGGAGCATTTGGGGTGAAGGCCCTTGCCCAGGGGCCCAATGGAGTAGGAGTCCTCTGCTGGCCGTGGGATACAAACCAGCAACCTGCCAGCCACAGGCACAGCAACCCCACCACCCTATACTCAACTAAATTGAGTATATACTGTATATACCATGCACATAGTTCAGAATTTACTTTGTACTGCAGATAAAGTTTTGTGGCTTTATTCTCACTAAACTTACAAAAAGGGACTGGGGACGGACTAGTACTATGAAAGCAACTCTGAATGGAAACACGTACTCAGGTTTTTTTTTTTTACCCAAGCAAGAGTGCATTAAGAAAGCTGGAATCCATCCAGCTATTTCATTCCATTTTTCCATTTTGTTAGAAAATTAACCACTAACTGAAAAGAATTCTACAACACAAACACACAGCGTTCGAGCCACTCTGACACTTAAAAACACTCTGTCTGAATTACTTTCAATGTCACGAACAGAAATGATAAGAGCTGAAAAAAAAAGATGTGTTGGTAACAACAGTGCTACGAGAACGGACTTGGTTCATTCAGTTATTTCAACCACAGGGCAGGGCAGGTCTCAGTTTGCTGTACTTCACATTCTCCATATTTCTGAGCCAAAGGGTTCTGAAGATAAAGTCTGGATGTGTGCAGATGACACTTGAATAAAATATCTGTTGAGGCTTACTGTTGCAAAGAGCAAGAGACACCAGGAGAAATCTCAATTATGCGCTTTTAATTGACTCACACACAGCGATAGGCGTGGAATATTGTTTTGATAAACATTGGTAGTCTTCCACTCTGCATCTGTGACCAGAGCACAACAAATACAGTCAGCTAACAGGCATTGGGAAGCAAAGGCCAGGAAAACAGTTTGGAATAACTTGTGAAACCCAACCTGTATTCCTTTGGAAGGTGGCAGTAAACTGGAATATCTAGGAAAATTCCACAGGAACACAAGTGGAATATGCAAACTACAAAAATATGGTATCCCCAAATTTAACCCAGGACCCCAGAGATACTGTAAAAGGCAGATGTGCTAATCACTATGCCTATGTGTGGTGCAGGGATTACCCTTTCATTTATCAACTATTATTCCACAAACTTTAGCAATATAAAAATATTGTGACCGACTCTTTGAAAGAGGTTCTTTCATTGCTCACCTAATACGGTCAGGGATTAAGATGCCACAAAAAGCTAAAACAGTCTGTGATATTCAAGGCACAGAAGCAACAGAGAGAAACATGCTTGATCATGCAAGAAGCACTGTCATACGAAAACACCGGTGTTCGCAAGGAACAGAAACCGAGGATCAGTGAGGATTTCAAGAGGAAACAACTGATTCAAGGTTAGAACAAATGCAACGGTACTGTAAACTGCTTATTAAAATTCTGTCATTTCTGGGTGGTCATGGAAGCTTATATTCTTAAAAACGGTAGCAGGCTGGAATGATTCCATAAGTTGAATGAGCACCACGGTGCAGTAAGCTTTATTGCTGTCGAAACAATAACATTTGCAATAAAGCGAACAGGACCAACCTGACTAGCGGCTGAATTCTAAAACCCCCTGGCAGTCTTAAACATTAATCTGAATTCTGAACGCACCAGGAAAAAAAAAATAACGTTGTGTGCCACATTATCAGGGCTTCATTTAATTTGAACTGCATTACATTTTTTCTCCTCGAGCAACTATGCAAATGTCCTAATATACTGTACAACAAATTGCCTGCTCTCGTCAAAAATAAGATCAGGGAATGTCAAGAGTTTCTTTTCATTGGCGCAACAGATGAACAATAGGCGCTCCATCCGTCATTGTAGTCATCTTCTCCCCACATCTTCCCTCTCCCTCTCCCTCTTTTGCGCTACTTGCGCACTGTCAATACCAGTGTTTCTTTACCTGAGTCTTACGAAGCTGTAAAAATATTGCTACCGTATACCAGCTCTTGGCATTGAAGCGTGTTAAAATGACGACCTGGCCCTGAGAAAAAAAAAGTTCAAGTTCAAAGCTCAACTGCGTATTTATTTTTACAGCACCTCAAAATAATTCCTCAGCTAAGAGTTCTCTCTTTGCACAGACAAGTGGCCTTCTCTCGTGAAATCGACTGTTTGCGGAGCTGTCTAATATTAATTTTGAAGAAAGAAACTTCAGGGGAAATAAGGAACATGAAAACTGATTCAGTAGTTTCTTTTGGGAGAATCTACTGCTGTACTCTCTGCTATGTACAGTAAGTATGGGATCTAATCTGATACACTTGGAACCCGCTACTTAATAGCCTACAGAACTAAGTAAAACTGCAGTTTGCTATATAAACAAGTATATTTTATATTGGTGGCGACTTTAGCGAACATTACTACTCACAGCTAAATGTTAGCGTTTTCCTTTCCGTACAATGATATCGAAACTTGTTTCATAAACCTTTAGAATATCGTAGGTTTCTAAGGTCCTATTAGATTATTTTTAATTATTAACGCCAGCATATCGGAATTAAATCACTGCCACCTTGTCTCCCGAAATGTCGGGCGCCCGTAATGCCCTTGTAACCGCCCAACTTAAAACTGTTGAAATTCGCAAATAGAGAAAAACAATATACTTTACAGTTTGACAGTAAGAAAACGCACAGCAGGTCCCGACGTACTCGGTGGGGAAAAAACACACTGTCAACTACATAAACTGAAATTAACTGCGGAAATCATTTTCGAAAATGTGCGTCCGGCAGCATTAAAAGACAATATGAATGAAGTCGCGTTTTGTTCATGATCTCCTACCTTACAAGAGCCGAAGAGCAACGCGAAGACTTGCTCGCCTGATGCTGGCAGACGCCCGGAGCCGTGACTTTGCCCGTGCCCGAGCCGCGGCGCTCTCTTGCCCCGCCCAGCGCTCCTGCCGTCTGGCTGAGGCGTGGGAGTGGAGCAGGCTGCTGTCGGTCAAAAGTTGTTGCGAGCCTCGAGGTTAAGGACAAGCGAATGTAACCTTCCTGGAAAGTTTCCGGCGGCTGCGAACAAAATGTTTAGCTCTGTAAAAGTATTACGGTTCTCGAGAACCTCGAAGAGACAAATAAGTTGCAAGGTGCAAGGTAAGAAAACAAGGAGCCGACCCCCCACGAGAATCGGGCCATAAACCCCCACAAGGTGACCTTTAATTCTCAGTGCTCCAGCACCCGTGCCAGGATTTATTCATGAGGACCAGAAGCGCACATTTAACCAGGACTAGTTTAAAGAGACCAGTATACGCCCCTGAGTTGTGGGGCTTCGTGGTTATTTCTTTTCTTTTCAGTTTGAATCGCGGGGTAGTGGCGCAAAAGAAAAGGTATCTCGAAAAGATGAGTGAACGAAAACGCACAAGGCAACAGGCTGTCTTGGAGCTCAGCAGTGAAATAATGGCTAGCAACACGGCATAGGAAGCACTTCACAAAAAGAGCGAGGTAACGTAGAAAAGGTGACCCAGCCACGCTGAAAGTGACTCTCTGGAAAAGTTTCAGGAAAATCTGGAACCGGTTTTCTACCAGCTAACAAATGACCAAGCAGGGCTGGTCTCTTCTCATTCGCCAGTTTATCCTCCTGTCTTTGGATTAGGCACCTGAGATAGCTGTTTCTACTGTTTGGAAAATCATTCGCTAAAAAGGCAGAAAAAGCCGAACCAGGAAGCTACAAAAACTACAGCCAGACAAGATTATACATACGACGGCAATATTGGGTATAATTAGCATGTGTTAAGAAAGTGCAAATCTTCCTTAATGAACTTGCTAGATTTCTTTGAACAGCAAAAAATCTTGATGGAGAATATGATACTGTATATGTAGATTTCTAGGAAACATCTGATAATGTCTCATATATAGCAATCCATGGCAGACTAAGACCATGTCCCAACTCTCACACCTGCACGCTGAGCCCTTCCTCCAAGTCCACATTTCTGTGATGGAGAGCAAGTGTGGACTGGATTCAAGGAGCACAGTTCTACAAATATTGCCAGCAGCCATGTCGCCCTCCCACTCACAACTGTCCCACCACTGAAGCTCAGCAGGGGTGAGCCTGGTTGGTACCTGGATGGGAGACTCCTGGGAAAGACAGATAGATACTTTATTGATCCCGTGAGGGAAATTGCAGTGCAACAGCAGCTTTACACAGACAACACAGCCACAGTGTAACGAATGATACAACAATAATAATAGTACAATACAATCAGTACAGTGAGGGGTGCACTAAAAGAGTTACTCACAGTCCGGACACACAAAGAACAAACTAGAACAGGACAGTACGCAGAAAAATCGTAT